CTTTTTTCAAAATAAAAAAATAAAGAGAATTACAATTCTATTTAGTTTAATTATAAGAAATAATTGATAAATATAATTGTTAATCAATAACTGATCTTTTGTTATTAATATCTAGTTTAAAATTAATCAATAGAAATATCTTTCTAAAAACATTTTTAAAAAATTATAAACTACAATTATTAGCCAAACCAAATGCATGGTACATCTTAAAAACACAAGTTTCATTTGGAAACATTTCTCAATATTTAAGTTTTTTATTTTTATATCTTTTTATGATTTTAAAAATATAAAAAATATTAATTAAAAATATTAAATATATTTTATATATTTTTAAAATATTAAAAGAAAAAGGAAAAAAATTATAGTTGCACCCACAGCTTAGTACTGCTAAATCAAGTCCTAGGCTAAAATAGAGCAAAAAGACAAAAAAGGCAAGTAAATGCTTGCAGAGTAAGGAGGTAATGAGACGAAGAGTATGTTTGGTTTAACTTTCAAGTACTTTAATATTTTGATATTATTTATATTTTATAAATTTAAATTTTTTTAAAAAATTTTTATATTTTTAAATTTTTTTTAATCTTAAAAAAACTTCAATCAATAAAAATTTTAAAATTTTAAATTCAAATTTTTTATAAACTTTTTTTTACTTATTTTTTTTATCTTTTAAAGTAATTTTTAAATTTTTTATTCAATAAAAATTTAAATTTATCACTCATAAACAGTAAAAATAAAATAAAATAAAATCTCTTATAAACTAACTCAAACATCTTCAAAAAGCCACTTCGGGAAGACCTTACATGTTGCATCTGAAAATAGCTTGAAACCCGCATCAAAACCAAGCCATGCTCAACAAAAACACAGTAAAAAAACAATTTATTGTGCAACATTTTTCCATAGTACTAAATTTTTTAAAGAGAAGAATTTTGCAATTGCCCAAAAAAAGAAGGAAAGAATTTTACAAATTACCCTAGAAATTTGCAACCATGCATCCAAATTCCGAAAAAGGATCATATCATTGTACTTGTGCACTGTCTACCTATACCAAGATACACGCATGTATATGGACCCGCCACCAAGTGGAAAAATTTTCCAGAGTATCCAAAGATGGGCAGCTGTCGGGGTCATTGACTCTCGCATCTCATTCAAATGGAATGGGAGGGGTTATTCCCCCATACAGCATATCGTAAAAATCACATAAATTAGAATTTTTTTAATAGATATTTAATTATAATAGTTAAAAAATATTAATATTTATATTAATTTAATATATTTAATAATAATATTAATTACTTTATTATTATTAATTAAAAATATAATTATTAATTATTTTAATTATAAAATAAAAACTAATATTTTAAATAATAATATTTAAAATTTTACCGTAAGTAACACTTGACTTTGTAGCCACGACCATGCCCATGGAATAACAATATTATGTCATTTTCCATGAATCATGATAATGTCGTGGCATCGAATCAAGCTATTTTTGCAATGATTCGGCACCAGCAGCTTCATTTTCATGGTTGCCAATCTCCCCAACATGATGATAAGGTAGTAGGTGAAATGATGTAGGCGTCTGTGTGTTTAAATTACTTCTAATTTATTACTCCATCTGTTTCATATATATATATATATATATATATAT